GTCCACACTCACAAGACTCACGACTCGTGACTGTCCGCACCGCACCTGTTGCACGATGAGCGCGAGCAGTTCGCGGGGTGCCGCTTGCGGATAGCGCGGAAGTTTGGATTCGGGGAAGATGGTGGTGGGTGGTGGTCACGTGTTCTAGATGCGCTTCACAGTCAAGAGTAGCGGTCATGTGGAGGTCGCAACGCGTGGTTTTGAGACGCAAACGGATGAGAGAGAGAGCGCTGACACATCTTGCGCGTTTGTAGGATGGTACGCGGTACATGCTGATCGAACGTTTGCAAGGACTGTGAATGAACGAAGCCGTACAAGCGCTCGCTCGATCGACCACTCAAGGCTTCATCAGGATTTCCTCGGAAGCTTCGCTCTGACCGCTGATCTTGACCTTTACCTTCAATCGAGCCCACTTCGACGAGTGCAAATTTCGCAAGCCTTGGCCTTGGGTAGTTGATGATAGCGAGGTGCTTTGCAAGTCCGCTTGCTCGACTCGCTAAAATCCCACATCCAGATCTCGCTGCCCAACTCTTGAGCGCCCAGATCGCAAGATTTAATCTTCCAGCGCACACGCTACACACATCGGCGACCGCGATGGCTCCGAAACGAGCAGCTAGCAGACGCTCGGAGCATCCTCCATCGGATGCGGAGGAGGAGGTGATGGATCCCAAGCTGGAGCCGGGAGGCGAAGATGGCGGCAAAGGAGATGAGCAAGAAGCCCCGCCTGCCAAACGCAGCAAGAAGGAGGCTGGTGGCGGCAAAGTTGGAGTCAAGAAGGAGGAAGGTATGAAGAGGGCCACGCAGGTCAACATTGCTTCGGATGCAGAGCATCGCTATCACAGGACAGGCGTGCACGAGGGCATCAAGTGGGCCACCAACGATCTCAATCAGACAAAGGACAAGCACTCTTTGCCCGAAGAGGTGACGCCGCGCGAGACGCTGACTCGAGCGCTCAAGGTGCAAGGCAGCAGGCCGAAAGATCATGCGAAGGGCAACGTGGTGCATTGGATGGGAATGAGGGATCTGA